TTTAGATTTCAGTATCGTGTTCTTATGAATTTATTCAGTTTTGGATTCATGTACAAGAAAACGATAAACACTACTGTTGTGTGCATATCCAATAAATATGCAATCAACTGTTTTTGGTCCAATCTTTATTTTGTTTGGCGTAAATATTGCTACATTTGCTAGACACCCCCACACTCTCAAGTATTTTTGTAGGATGGTGGTTTTCCATGTCATAATTCATATGGGCTTTTGCATATATTTTTACGAGGAACCTTATTTAAAAGGTAATTTGCTGACAATACAGCTTCTGCCCATAGGTTCTACGAAAGTCCAGAACTTAACAACATTGAATTCATCATTTCTTTCAACATACGATTTTTTATTTCCGCAATCCTTTTTTTTTTTTTTTTGCAGTGAATAAGGTGCTGACTCATGTTCCCCTCCTATGTCACTTCTTATTACCTTAATCTTTTTATTTAACTGATTTTAAACTTCATTTTTATAGAGAATAAATTTCTCTATCGCTTCATCCTTACTTTTGAGAAGATACACATAACAAAAGTTAGTGCTATCATCTAGAAAAGTAATAAAATATTTATTTCTTTACCACGTGTCGTGACAGCTTTTAAATCACATACATTAGTGTGAATTAAATCAAGTGGTTCATTATTTCTTTCAATAGTTTGAAATGGTAATTGTGTCGATTTGCTTCAACACAAGTTTCACACTTATGTTTTGAATCAATGTGGAACATAGGTATGCTTTTCAATTTTATTAACTTGCTCAGGGTATTATAATTGACATGTTCCTAGGGATGGCAAAACGACCTGGGCCCGGCCCGACCCGGCCCGACCCGCAGCGTTTGGGGCAGACCTGACCTGCCCTGTTTTTAAAACGGGCCGGGGCGGGTCTGGCCCGTTAGCAAAACGGGCCAGGTCCGGGTCCTACCTATTGACCTGGCCCGCCCGTATATAATCATACAATATATAAAGTAATTACTTAATTACTAATTAGGGTTCAGATCACTCCGCCTCTCTTCTCATCTTCTGCAATCGTAAGTGCCTCCGTTCTCTCCTAATCTCCCTCTTTGTGATTGCGTCTCCCCGTCTTTGAGACACAATCTCTTACCTTTGACTTCTCGCCGCCTCCGACGCCTCGTTGCTTCCGCCGCCTCGCTGGTTTCGCCGCCTCACTGCAGATTTAAGGTAATTATTAATTACTACATTATTACAAAAATTAAAGAATGTTGCTATATCTTTGAAATTGATGGGGTTTTATTTTGAAACACATTCTAATTTGTTATATATGCTTTGTGTGTAAATTTGGGTTCGTGTGCCGACAATTATGGTGTCTTCCTGGATCAAGAAAGGGACTGGTAATGTCTTTAACTATTTATAGTGATAACTGATAAGGGTTGAACCAGTATTAATAATGTTTAGTGTTTGGTATAAAAATGCTTGATTGTTTCCTCAAAATCACTAATATTGCTTTGACATTGTTTCCTTTACTAACTTTTAGATGGGTGTTTGATATTAAATTATTGTTTGTTTCCTTTACTAAATTATTTTTTGATAAATCACAGAGGAAAAAACAAGTAAACGAGAATAGCACTCGACTATTATTAGAGATAAAAACCCAACATTATTTTTGAGTACTGCTAATGCTTAGGCATTTTGAAATGTTTTATATCTCAAAAGAAGTGATCATGCGTTTTGTCTCTGTCTTTTTCTTTCTTTTCTTGGATTTTTTCTGCAATTATCTCAACCTGAAAGCTAAAACAATGTTGCAGATCATGGTTCCAAACAACTACACAGAGTTCATTGATGGCCTAACCTCATTGGTGAAGAGAAACGTTATTATAATTTAATTTTGAGTGTTACATTTGCAAGTTTAATTAAACAACTTTCAGAAACAACTTTCAGAGAGCTTTCTCAAAATTCAGAATTTGATATTTGCTTGAATTTTTTTGAGAAAATCCATCACATCAAGTGAAAAATTATTTAAATATTAGAAATTGCATATAAGTTTATGATCTTATGAGTTTTAAGAAATGCTGAATTAGTGAATTGATGTTGTGGAGGTGTACTTGAAATTACACGGAGGTGAATTCTTAGTTTCTATTAGAATAGAGACTTAGAGTCCTCTGGTTCTACTTGCTACTTGCTTTTTTGCTGCAGATTATAT